AAGGTGGGAAAGGGGCCAATGTGAGGGGGCAGGGAGGGGCTGTGGGCAACCTCCTAACTTGGAGGACCACTGAGAAATGCAGGGTTGGGGGGGTGTGGCGATGGGCGCCTCTCCCCACAGTCAGAGGGAGGGGAACGGAAAGAACGAGGGAGGCGTGGCCCCTCTAGGTAGGTGGGCAACCAGCCACCTGTTGCCTTCAAGCTCCTCTTTTTTTTTTTGTAGTGCTTTATTTTACTTTTCTTTCTTTTCACTTTCTCTGTCACACACAAACACACAATCCCACATCTCCACCCACTGGGTGCCCAGCTCTGCCACAAGCTCTGGGCTAACCCCTGTAAAAGACTCACACACGGCTGGGCACGGCGGCTCACACCTGTAATCCCAGCACTTTGGGAGGCCAAGGCAGGTGGATCACTTGAGATGAGGAGTTCGAGACCAGCCTGGCCAACATGGTGAAACCCCGTCTATACTAAAATTATAAAAATTAGCTGGGCGTGGTGGTAGGTGCCTGTAATCCCAGCTACTTAGGAGGCTGAGGCAGGAGAATCGCTTGAACCTGGGAGACAGAGGTTGCAGTGAGCCAAGATCACACCAGTGCACTCCAGCTTGGGTGACAGAGCAAGACTGTCTAAAAAAATAATATAAAAAAGCATCACACACATGAACATGCACACACGGCCGCAACACACTCAGACTCTTCTGTTTCGTCTTCAGGGGAGGTCTGGCAACCACAGGATGTCCTGCTGGTTCCCCCTGCCCTCTGAGCTGCCCCACCTGTTTTTCTGGTGCTGATCAAGTCCTCTCTGATACCTTCCCATGTATGCTGCTGGATTAATGGTTGTCAACATTTATTGACGTATTGAGTGCCAACTAGGTGCCAGGCTCCACCCTGTCCACTTCACATGCTGCACTGATTAGGAGTGCATTAAGTTGCATGTAACAGAAACCCCACTGAGCAGTTTAACCACATAAATGTCTGTACACCTCACTCAACAAGTAGACTCTGCAGCATCTCCAGGGCCGAGGCTCCTTCCTGCCTCACTGTTCTCAGCACACAGCTTTTGGTCCTAGGGCCACAAGAAGTCAGAGAATGGCACTGAGTCTGCCTCCCTTATTTGGAAAACAATGGCTTTCCTGAGGCCTCACCTAGGTGGCTCCTACAGTGCCCCACTGGCTGGGGAGGATGCAGAGGCCATTTCTGATTGGACCCATGTCCTCTAAATAAAGGGGGGCCAGGGTACCCTGAGTCCAGGAAGGCTGGCTTCTTTTCACCCTTTGTATTTGCTCTGATCTAGTCCTTATATCCAGAATGCTTTTCCTGCCAGCTGCAGCTACTGAATTCCTACCTCTCTAGAAAGCCCAGTTCAGATGCTCCCTCCTCCACACAGTCTTCCCAGATTGCTCCTCCAGAGTCCTCCCCACTTCTGAATCTGTTGGTCATCTTGACTCCTACCTGCCTCGGCCATTGCATCTGTCTGCACAGAGCCTGATGGGAACTCTAAGCACCCAGAGGATTTTCCCAGCAGAATGAGTGGATGAGCACACGAATGAATGGTGCATTCTCGCTTTTAGGCAATCTCCATCCTTTGCAATATTGTTCAAGTGCTCCCCGCACCTACAGTCCTCCCCTAACCTCTCTTACTTCCATGGTGGCTACTCCAGGGACCAGAGCTCATGTCCCTGATGCCTTCCACTTGGCACTGTGCTGTGTGACACTGGCCACATCAGGGAGCATCTCTGAGCCCACTTAGTTATCTGTCAAATGAAAGGCTATGCTCTAAATTTCTTCTCATGCTAAAAAACTCAACCCTGCCGGAATTCAAGCCTTGGGGCAGGGGAAGGATTCTATCACATTCTTATCTTCCAGTTTAAAGGCAGACTTCAAAGTAATATCATTTTAGTGGGATTGTCACAGCCATTATTAAAGTTTTTACTGAATCTAATATATAGAAAAGTGCATATATCTTAAGTGTCCAGCTTGGTTAATACTTACAAAGAGAATATACCCATGTAATCACCACTCAGATCAAGACTCAGAATGTGACCATCTCCTAAAGCTCCATGCCTCTCCAGTCACTGCCTCCCCAGGATAACCACCATTTTGACTTGTAACAGTGCAGCATGGCTTGCCTAGATTTGGGCCTTTATGTTATTGGAGTCACATGGCATGTACACTTCTGTGACTGGCTTCTTTCACTGAACATTGTGTCTGTGAGAGTCACTCATGTTGTGTATTATTAGTTGTTCTTTTCCATTGCCCTATACTATTCCACTGTACGAGTATACCACAATTTATCCATCATTCCATAACTTACGGATATTTGAGTATTTTCCAGTTTGGGACAATTAAGAGTAAAGATACTGGCCGGGCATGGTGGCTCACGCCTGTAATCCCAGCACTTTGGGAGGCCGAGGCGGGCGGATCACGAGGTCAGGAGATCGAGACCATCCTGGCTAACACGGTGAAACCCTGTCTCTGCTAAAAATACAAAAAATTAGCTGGGCGTGGTGGTGGTGACACCTATAGTCCCAGCTACTTGGGAGGCTGAGACAGGAGAATGGTGTGAATCCAGGAGGTGGAGCTTGCAGTGAGCCGAGATCGCGCCACTGCACTCCAGCCTGGGCGATGAGCAAGACTCCATCTCAAAAAAACAAAAAAGAGTGGTGCAGCTGGGTCATGGAGCAGTGAGGTCACCATCAGTAGCCACTGATGGGCTTGCTGTTTTAGATGATGTCTGAGCTAGCAGGCATAGACATTCCCACTGTACCCAGAACAGACTCTCAGAAGCATGGGTTGCACCCAGGAGAGCCCAGTGGCTAAGGAAAAGGGATCTCCCAGGGCACACCCACAAGCACCCTCCAGCAAAACCATCAAGTGAAACCCCCACTCCCACCAGGGTGAGGAAGCCCTCCATGCTACCACCTCCATCTGGGTCTCCCATTGTCCTCTGGAGTACTAGCTCAAGCCAGCCTCTCACGGATGTCTCCTCCACACACCTCACGAGGCCAGCCCTCTAGTGGTGAGAAACTTGGTGTTGACTCACTGCCTGAGGAGTGGACAGAGGCTGGGAAACTGTGTTCCAGATGCCAGGTGGCCCCCAGCAACCAGAGCCCTCTCCTTGCTAGCTCCCTGCTGTAATCAGCTGGCAGACACAAGCCCTGGCTGAGAGCGATAAGGACTGGGCACCAGGAGCTGTGCCAACATCACTCCCCAGCTTTGTAGCTGAGGCCCCACAGTCTCTGGGCTTGCCGCAACACCCACACACATATTTATGTGTTGTCACAGGCTTTGGCCAGGCCCTGGCCACCTGCAGCTTCCCTTCGGCCACCTCCTAACCTACCCTGGCTCCTATGGCTGAAGGGGCCCAGAGTGCACTTTCTCAGGGGGTGCTGCTCTAGGATCCCTGCCTGGGCCACCCTGCCCTGTTCTCCTTTCTTGTCAGCAAAGAGCTCGTTCAAGTTGGCTCCAGTCCTGCATTGTGCATGGCCCTGGGGAGCGAAGATGGAAGCCATCAGCAGTATTGGTGAGACCTTCACAGGGGTGCAAAGGCCGCAGCTGAATGCCAATGGGCAGCCTGAGCAGGAAGCCTTCCTCCCATTTGGTCTGAGTATATATCTGCAAGGGCAATTAAAAGGACAGGAAAGGCCAGGCGCTGAGACTCATGCCTGTAATCCTAACACTTTGTGGGGGAGAAGCAGGAGGCTCACTTGAGCCCAGGAGTTCGAGACCAGCCTGGGCAATACAGTGAGACCCTATCTCTACAAAAAAATTTAAATTAGCTGGGTGTATTGCCTGCCTGTAGTCCCAGCTACTTAGTGGGCTGAGGCAGGAGCACTGTTGGTGGGAGGGGGCAGGGAGGCTGCAAAAAAAAAAAAAAGAAAAAAAGAAAAAAAGCCAGGAAAGGGAATTCTAGGCTGGGGGAACAGTCAGTGGGGGAGGCTCCGAGGCACATCTGGGGGACAAGGCTGAAGCCATTCACATGCCAAGAGATAAAGGAGGTGCACCTTCATGGTTGCCGTGGGAGTGGGTGGTGGTGGTGGTGGTGGCTGGAGGAACATGCAAGTCAGGCAGCGAGGCCCAGGCAGGCCTTGTGGGGCCCTCTAACACCAATAGGCCATGCCTCCAAGTTGGGGCTTTTACCCCATTGTAAGGCTCTACAGGTTAGTGTCACAGTGCCCCTTTCAGGTTTAAGGTATAAACCTCTTCCCTGTTGTTTTGATGGCCTCCAGTCAAGAAGGGGGCTTGCTGATCAGCCCTACTAAGCGTTCGCCCTGGGTGACACTCTACAAAGTTTCACTGGGGCCCAATGAAATTGACAGATCTGCCAGACAGTGAGAGTTCGGAAGCAGCGTTCGAATAGTTCTGCGCCGAACCAAGTGCCAGCATTAACCCGCTGCAGGAACCCATACATTCAGAATCTGCGCAAAATACACATATTTGTATTAAAAATCCGCGCAAAATACACATGTACCTAAATATACATATTTACCTCCAAAGTCGTAATTTCCGGGGGTACAGCCCAGGAATGTACATTTGAACTGATGCCTCAGTAATTCTCACGCATGTTGGCCAGGTAAGAACTCAGTCGCAGCCCGTAGCTGTGCGGCTCGGCCTAGGTCCACCCGCCGCCCGCCCCCGAGCCTCCTAAGGCCGCAGGCCAAGCACCCCTCCCTCGGGGGACCACCAGGCCCCGGCCTTTTCCACGGACTCCGCGCTCCAGGTCGCAGCGCCCCCTCGCGGTCGCCGAAGTCGGCAGCCTGGGGCTCGGCTGGTCTAGGGCTTCGAGCGGGAACGCTTCGAGCCCGCAACGGGAGTGACGAGCATAGTTTCTGCCGGCAGCTTGGGGAAAGAGGGTTTCTGTCCCTCTGCGAGGCCAGCCCACGCCGAGGGTCCAAGCATCAGGAGATGCAGCCGGCACCTGGCTCCCACAGCACCGCCCTGGACATGAGCACTCCGCCCAAGCCGAGGCGTCAGCTGGCGCGCGCGCCCGCGACCGACATGCGCAGGCGCCCACAGGCCGCGCAGCCGCCATTGCTCTCCTGTCACCGAAGGGAGTGCTTGTTGGCAGTCCGCGGGTCCGGAAGGAAGGGTGAGGCGACGCCTCGACGACAGCGGACCGGAGCTGCAGGGGCAACACACTCAGGGCGGGGTGCCCATTTAGGCCTGGCTGACCGGAATAAGAAACTACAACCCCCGAAGTGCATTGCGCCTCAGGGTTACGGAGGCAGTGTCGTAAGCTATCTTGACCGCTACCATTTCTCTGGTGGAAGAGGGGACGCGGCGGCGCGGAGTGAGGACGCGCTCTTCCTGCGGCTGGAGGGTCGCGGAGGTCAGCGTCCGGGTGCTGGGCTCCGGTTGTCGAAGTGCCTTTGCGAACCTGCTCTTTGACCAGTTTAAACTGGCGGTCTATTTAGCCTTAGTTACAGATACCCACTGACTGTGTACCTGCCGTCTTTCAACTCCCGGGCCGGCCACTGAGCCAACCAGATAACCATTACTATTATTTAGTTTTATTTTGAGACAGTTTCAAGTAACTCCTGTATGCACTTTGATGAGATTCACGAGTTGTAACCTCTTTTACCCTATTTAGCTTATGATTTCCTCTGTTTTTCTCTCTGCCTTTTTTCTTCCCTGGACCATGTGAGTTAGTTGCAGATGTGAAATCCCGTTGCGTCCATATTTAGAGGCACATCGTGTTTGTTTTCTAAAAACAAGGACAAGCGTCAGCATTCAAAATCGGGTAACATTGATCAAGACTTTTTCTGACCCATAGTCCACATTTAAATGTTTTTAAATGTTTTTATTAGTGTCCTAATAATGCCCTTTATGGAAATTATCCTTTTCTTTTTCTTTTCTTTTTTTTTTTTTTTGAGACAGAGTCTCGCTCTGTCGCCCAGGCTGAAGTGCAGTGGTGCGATCTCGGCTCACTGCAGCCTCCTACTCCCAGGTTCAAGCGATTCTCCTGCCTCAGCCAAGTAGCTGGGATTACAGGCACCTGCCACTGTGCGTGGCTAATTTTTGTATTTTTAGTAGAGATGGGCAGGCTGGTCTCAAACTCCTGACCTCAAGTGATCCGCCCACCTAGGCCTCCCAAGATGCTGGGATTACAGGCGTGAGTCACCACACCTGGCCCAAATTACCCTTTTCTTGGTTCAGGACCCGATCCAGGAGCACACATTGCATTCAGCTATATGGTCTCTTCAGTTTCCTTCAGTCTGGAGCAGCTTCTCAGGTTTTCCATGACCTCATGACCTTGACGCTTTTGAAGATTCCTGTTGTTTTGTAGAACTAGGTTTAGGCTTGTCTGAGGTTTTTGTTTGTTTGTTTTTTCAGTTTATGCCTATTCTGCTTGTGTATGTCTGAGGTGTTTTTTGTTTTTTTTTGAGACGCGGAGTCTCGCTCTGTCGCCCCAGGGCTGCGTGCAGTGGCCCGGATCTTCAGCTCACTGCAAGCTCACGCCTCCCGGGTTCCACAGCCATTCTCCTGACCTCAGCCTCCCCAAGTAAGCTGCGGGGGACTTACAGGCGCCCGCCACTCGCCGGCTAGTTGTTTGTATTTTTAGGTAGTGCGGGGTTTCCGTGTTACCAGGATGGCTGATTCGCTGACCTTGTGATCGCCCGTCTTGCCTCCCAAGAAAGTGCTGGATTTACAGGGCTTGAGCCACTGCCCCCGGCTTTTTTTTTTTTTTCTTTTTTAACCACTGGAATTTGTTATGTGATACTGTTTCAGGATGCTGTTGTTCAAAAGTGTCCGCCTCACGCCTGCATGGATACACTCCCAGGACACTGGCCAGGTCAGCGGTCCTTAA